CAGGAGGAAAAGAGGCTGTCATTTTACCAGACAGCCACCAAAATAAACAATAATGATGAATCCAGCGACAGCCACTGCTGCGGTCCCAACTGTTCACAGGCCCATGCCGAGCTCCTGACATCAGAACACAGAGGTGCCCGCCCCTCCCCCACTGGTGCTGGCCCAGCCCTGGCTCCCTCTGCCTCCACCTACCCACCCTCCGAGCTCCTCCTGGATTAGAGTGGACGCTACAGGATGACAGGGGTTCATCTCTTTGCTCCTGCCCTATCTCTAGGGCTACCACAGTGTCCCGCAGACAGCAAGAGTTAGGTAAGTAGCCAAGTCAACCAAGCAGCCAGCATTAGTGTGACACACCAAGAAGACAGAGTCCTGAGGAGTAAATACTGACAACAGTTGCTGTGTCTCAGGCAGAAGCTCACTGCCTGTGCTAGGTGCTGGCCACCCTCCCTGGGAAGAGAAACCACAGTCCCCAGGTCAGCTCACCGAGCTTCGGCAGTGTGCTTGCCCTGGGCTCCTGTCCCTGATCCCACCCCGGCAGCAGCCTGCTTGCTTCACACTTCCTGGCTCCCATCTGCCAGGCTTTCTTTCCTTCTGACGTTTGCACAGAACTGCAGGGAGATCACAGCCGTCTCGGGATCTGTGGACCAGACTGTCACCCATGCACACTGAGATGCACACAGAAGCCACTACTTTATGCAGCCCAGGAAGCAATACAACTGAGTAATTGTGGCAGCACTAATATTTGCTCACCTGTGCTGAGTGCTTGCCGTGATCCCAGGGCCTCTGCCAATCACCTGCTTGGCATCTCTGTTCTCTGAGGCAACCTAGGAGGTTGGGGCCTTATCATCCCTGTTCCGCAGCCAAGGGGACCAGGATGAAGTGGCCCCCTGCAATGTTCCCGGACACCTCTGTGCTCTCTGGCTTCCCTCTTCACCTGAAGACAAGCCCCCCACTTCCCACCAGGCCAAGCTGCTAAGCACGACACAAGGCAGTGCCCCCTCCTTGATTCCTGAAGATGAAGTCGTTTTGGGGAGCTACTCAGTTCAACAAAGACTAGGGCCTTCTAAGCCTCCGTCTCCCGGAGAAGTTCACACTACTGGCATAGAGAGCAGCACCCCTGGGCCCCCTCCAGTCTCCCAGAAGAGGAGGACAAGGCAAAATTCTACAACCTCAACATGAACTGAAATTATAGGCTGGAGACTGGCTCAGAAGTACAGAGCAGAGGCCGGGGCGTGCACAGTGCTGGGTTAGATCCCCAGCGCAGAAAAGAAACATAGAGTGAGGCCATTTTGACAGCATGTAGGCAGAAATCTCATGTTTCACGGCCCAATCTTGGTGTTTTCTGTTTTTTCTGTTACTATATAGCCCAGGTTGGTCTTGAACTCCTGGACTCAATCAGTTCTTCACCTCAGCCTCCAGAGAGCCTGGGATTACCGGAGCGCAACACCACATCCAGCGACTGTTTCCATTGGTAAGGACAGAGCCCAGGGAGGCTGCGACACTGCTTAGCATCTCTTCAGGGCTCAGGTATACCAGGACAGCAGCAATAAGGGCTGTGCTCAGAACAGGCGGGGGCAGGGTAGCGAGCCGAGCGGCTCAGTCTCCCATCTGTTCTAGAAGTTGAAAGCAATTACAGCCTGGAAACAGTCCGAGAATGGGCTCGGTCACAGCCCCAACAAGGTGCCAAGTGAGCGGGCCCGCTGTGCTAAGATGAGCTCTCTGAATGCCACCTGTGGAGCGGCCCTCCCAGGCCCTGGCCCACCACAGCTGAACATCCCTGCACTGAGCCTTTACCCAAGGCCTCCCAGCCCTTCGTACAACCTCGGCCTGCTTTACCATGGTGGGAAAGCCGGTGGTCAGAGCAAGGCATTGTAACGCAGGAGGCTGAGAGTTCTAGTTGCTCCCAAGCTGTGTGGACAAGGGGGCACCCCAGTAGTCAAATGGGCTCGATCCAAGTCCCATCAGCTCTGTCACTGCTGACCTATGTGACCAGGGTACTATTTTTAACCTTCTATTTTTCATCTGCTGAATAAAGATAATTATAATAATAGTCCTATTTTACGGGAGATTTGCTAAGAAATTAAATGAGATGGGATATCTGCCACATTTAGAGCCAAGCCTGGGCCACTGCACACCCTCCTGTTTTACCACTCATTTTATTTTAAGTGCCATGGTGTGCGGGTGGAGTCAATATGAAGGATGTAGGGCCAGGGAGATGGCTCAGTAGAATAAGAGTTTCCCTGGCAAGCACAAGGGACCAAGTTCAATTCCCAGTTCCACAAAAAAAAAAAAAAAAAAAAGAAGGATGTGCCTGGCACCCTAAATAGTTTCAAAGTTATTAGCCACACTGCTCTATTATTATTATTATTATTATTATTATTATTATTAATTCTGATCATTGCTTTTATTGGTTCCTCATACAACTTAATGACAGAAAAAGCGAAGAAGCCGAGAAGACTCCCACTCAGCGGTTCATTTGTTAGTACTCTACGCAACTCGGAATTTCTGAGATTTTCCAGGGAAGAAGTAAGTGTGCCACGCCTGGTGGCATGGGCCTGTAAGGCCAGGACTCAGTCTGCGGGAGGCTGAGCAGGAAGGCTGAAAGCTTGAGTCCAGCCTGGACAGCTGAGCAACTTCAGAAGACTCAAAACCAAATTTAAAAAGGGTTTCAATGGAGTTCAGTACAAAAAGGTCCTGGGTTCAATCCCTAGTACCACTATAAAACGGAGGGAGAAAAAAGAGTCACTGTGCCTGTCGACAGGGGCCATCACAGGCTAGTCTTCTCCAACTCGAGGTCCCCCTAGAGACAACGAGTGTATGGGGGGCTGGGGCAGTGGGTCCTGGCTGGCCCTCACTGAGGTCAGAAACTGGCATGGGGGAAAAGGGAGAGCGGGCTCCAAGAAGGTTCTGTCTACAACCAACTAGGAAAAGCAAGTAAATAAGCAGCCAGACCATCAGAAAAGCCACTGACATCAACAGCTGAGTGAATCCCGGCCACAGCAGCCACGGGCTGGCTCTCCCGAGAGCACAGGCCGTCATCCTTCGGCAAAGTCCTGGTCACCTCAGGCCCATCTCAGCCCACCCTCGGCAAAGCAAACTCAGGGCCTCACACACACACAGAAGAGGAAGGCCGCCTATGGCCAGCAGGCCCTCAGCCAGGCTGCCGATACAGTGTCCACCTCAGGCGGGCCAAGCGCCCCAGACAAGATGCCTACAGGCTCCAGAGCCTGGCTGCTCTGCTTGCCTGCCATGCAGGGAAGAAAAGAAAAGAAAAGAAAAATCTCCCCAAACCAAGGATTAATTCAATGTGGATCATGGAAATTCACTGGATTTTTAGACTGTCTTGAAAACCAAAGGAGCTTGATCCTTCACAACTGAGAAACAAACTAGCAGTCCTTCCTTCCAGCTCTGTGGTGCTGGAGCCTGAACAGTGCAGAGAAGAGGGCAGTGTACCAGGGAGAAAGGAAAATGGACCAGGAAAAAAAAAAAAAAAAAAAGGGCAGTGTACCAGGGAGAAAGGAAAATGGACCAGGAAAAAAAAAAAAAAAAAAAAGCTGGTGTCCGCTTTTCAAAAGAAGCCAGCACATGCAAAATCTTACATGTCAGGCAGGTAAAGCAGCAAGAAGAGGCAACCACCCTTAACCAGGCAAAACAACCACCCCATGGAACGCTACAGCAAGGTGCTTCCAGGCAGCCCATAAGGCCGGCATCCCAGCCACAAGGGAGCCACCAGCCTTTCCACCCCCAGACACAGCAGCAGAGTGTGCCCAGCCCTGGTGCCAAGGCCTCCAACCATGAGGCACACTCTTACCTCCAAGATGTAGCTCATTTCAAAGCCCTGGAGACCAGGCCTTGGAAGGGGTTCTGTCTGTCCTTTTGCTCTCCTAAAGGGGTCTCTGCTATAGTAAATCTTCCAGGAAGCTCCACTGCAGGTTCCAGAGATCGATACAACCCCCATCTGTGGGGAGAGCTTTAGAAAGACTAGCTATGACCACGGGATGGTGGCAAGTGAACAAGCCTCAACTTGTCTCTGCCCATATGCAAAACAGGACTGCAACATCCTATAACTCACAGTTCAGCAGATACAGTCCCGGCGACCTTGGCCCCCAGCCACACACTCCCGACACACAGCTTTTCCACTTTTCCCACAACCTGAACTCAGTGCCACCAATCTGAGTGGGTCAATGGGCACTGCCAGCCTCGCTCTGGAAAACACAAGCCTAGAAAAGACAAAAATCTGGCTCTCTTGTTCTGAACACCCTCCCAAGTGATTTTTCTTCTCTAATTTTCTAGACTGGCCTGCAGTCAGGAGTTGGAGAGAAGAAAAGAATACCCCACGTCTGCAGGCCATCCGGGAAATTCACCATGTGTCCACACACATGGCACATGCGGCCTCGTGGCTGTGCTTCCTGGAAGTATTCTATCAGACCACAAACCCTGGCACCGACATAAGTGCCAGGAGCCAAGGGAAGGCAAAGCTAATTACATCAACAAACCCTCCAAAAAGAATTGCCATGCCTGGGGGTGCGGGGCACCCAGCAAGTGCAGAGATGCAACGCAAAACCAGAGAAAGTTTCAAAACACAGAGCTATTGAGCTTTGGGAAATCACCTTGGGGGGGGGGGGCAAAGGATGGCTCGCGCATCACACGCTTCGCAGACCTGCAGTTTCGCAAATGGGGCCTCCAAACCGCATCTGCAGCCCCGAATGCGTGGCTGTCCGAGAGGGGTCTATTTTCGGAGATCAGTAATAAGAGCGAGATCAAGTGTACACACCGCCAAAGATCTCCAGGCACGGGCCGCGCCGTGGCACCTCTCCCCTCCCCCTCGCGAACGCCCAACTCGCTGCCAGTCTCGAGGGTGGCAAGAAGGAAAGTGCACGGTTACCACGCACGCTCGGGAACCCTCGGGCCCCTTTCCTTCAGCTCCTCCCCTGGCATCCCTACCCGCAAAGCCAAGGCTCCAAGTTTCCAGGACCGGAGAGGACAAAATTGCAACTTACTGGCGGGCGGATCCAGCCCCGTCTCGCAGGTCGCCGGGGCTGCCGACATCCTCTCGGCGTGGAGATCCCGTCGCGGGGCCGGCGGGTGCGGCGCGCCCCTGCCCGCGGCTCCTCGCCGCGCCCCTCTGCCCGCC